AATCAGCTTGTATAGCTAACAAGCAATCTATTCGTACTGATCTTACGACTACCAATACTAAACAACAACACGATACCAAACCCACGTTGAAACCCACTACACCCAGTACTAATCCTACTCCAAACGGTACAGACCGTACTGAGTGTACAGGGCACCCACGGACAGTATCACCAAACAAAGACCACTCCCACGACCTACAGTATACACCAACAGCCACTATACCACAGGCGTATAAGTATACCCTACACGCAGTCCTAACCGATAAACAATGCAGTCACTGTAATGGCATTACAGACTGTAATGGTAATACAGACATGAATACTGGGAATCTAATCAATCAACATTCCCCAACGAATACATTCACTACCCCCCCACACGGGAATGACCTACTGCCCTTCGATATACATAACGAGTCTCTTGCTTCCGCATACTGCGACAATCAACCATATATACGTATGACACACTCCACACACAGGAAAAACATGCGCAAACATATACTCATAGCCAATACACAACCTACAGCAATGAATACCACCATACCCCCCAATGAAGAATCAGTCCCATGTAAACCAATCACTCAACCCTTGCAAGCGGACACAGGAGCAAACATGTCAGCCACGAATCAGCTCAATCTACTTCATGACTATAAGCCCTACGACACCCCAGAGACTGTTGGAGTCTTCTCTGAGGACGCAACACCGGCCAGCACGCTATACGCATATGGAGAAGGATACATGTGCATCATCTCAGACCAAGGCAACGTAATGCGTTGGCGTACACTGTATACACCAAAATCAACAGGAACAGTCCTCTCCCCAGAACACTACCGGGCTTCACGTAATCACTACTCATTCCTACAGACGGGCCACGCAACTGGAAAGGGCTCAGTTTGCTTCATAAACAAGCTCAACCAAGCAACTGAATCTATTCAAACAGTTAGCCTTGACAATGGGCTCTGGTATACAACGAATAGGCTCTTAGTCGTCAACGATAGCGAAAACATCCACATTGCCACCGAACTGCAGAAATACAGAACGAAAGCGGACAAACGCACTGGTAAGTTTATCAATAGCGTAACCACTAACAAACTGAAAACGTGCACCAAAACGTGGTCAACTGGACTATCAACAGCATTAAAGAACCTTGAACTATGGCACCAGAGATATGGACATATCTCCCCTTCTACACTAGTTAAAACGCAAAAAGTAGTGGAGGGCATGCCCCCCCTCCCCACCTCTACACCATATTTTCGCTGTCCGTTCTGCGAAAAGAGCAAGATGACCAAATACAAAGGGTCCAAGAAACCCAGGAAAGAAAAGTTTATCCCCATGCAATCACTACACATGGACCTATCCTTCGTCACCAGACCACCCAATCTCAACGGAATCCTCACCAACAATGACAAGGCCCTGCCCACACTTAAAAAGAGCCGCCAAGGCCACATTGGATTTCTCACCATCATCGATGCTGCAACGAGAGCACTATGGACGTTCCCCATTAAATCCAAAGAACCACCATTATCTATAGTGGATCAGTTCCTTACTAAACATGGAATCCAAACAACATCCCCACAAAAAGCAATCATCACCACAACCGATGATGGCTACCTTGCACGCTCTCGAGCCTTCCGGCAGACGGCAACGAATCATGCCTACTCGATCTCTCCACAAAACAACACCTATTTCCTTGACCTACTACCACAACACCTCCACTGCACCATCATGACTGATGGCGGTGGGGAACTATCAAACTCCAGGAAATTCAAATCTACCATTGCACAACATGGCTACACCTCAATATCTACAGCAGCAGACGCCTCATCCCAAAATGGCATGGTGGAAAGACCCCACCGGACACTTAAGGAACGCATCAGATGCTTGCTTTATGCAGCTGGACTTGGAACTGAATACTGGGCGGACGCACTTCTCCATGCAACCTGGCTCTATAATAGGACCTATCACTCAGCCATTGACATGACCCCATTCCAACTCTTCACTGGCCAAATTCCCCTTGTGGACAACCTCATTACATTTGGCTCAAAGATAACAGCCAAGAGACCAGGAACAAGACCAACAACAACCCACCCCTGGACATATGATGGAATCTTCCTTGGATACGGACCAACAACAGATAACATCAAATACTTTGATATACACACTGGAACTGATAAAGGTGCTAGACATAACTCTAAAGATGAACTGCAATATGGAGACACACCAACTAACAGATCTCCAGCAGCCTCCCACCTATTGGAGACATTCACTGAGGGCCACCACACTGAACACACCACCGACAAACACCCAACACCAGTTGAATTTTCATTCAAAGACCCAAGACAACGTAATCCAAACAACTTAATACAGGAAATAATTGAAGACTCACCAAACCCCTTTACGGCTGCCGCAGCAGCCAAGGTTAAAGCACAAGTAAACAGGACAAAATTTGAAAGACCAGATATTCAAGCCCTCATCCCAGACCTGGAGACCCTGGATATATCAACAAATATATATCTCAAAGAGACGTCCCACACACTTCCCCTTAACAAGACCAACACTATTCATCCAACCATGGGATTTATTGTCAACACTCATCCGGATATAGCAGAAGCTATGGAACTATCATCGATACAAATTGGATCTATTGCCCATAGTCGAATTAGGGGATGGAAACGCCGTCTCAGGGGCACTATACTCACCACAGTGGACGATAGACCCATACACAAGCAACAAGACATTATTGATGCCATCCTCCATGCAAAACAGAGCCACCGAACAACTATAAAATTCACTTTTGGATCCCTAACTGGATTTGCACTCAGTGGTGAGGGCACACCAACACTCCAAGCAGACCAATTGAATGTAATAGCCCATCACCTCCACGCCATTAACCACGACCAGGACTTATGGGTCGATAAGACTGATTGGCCCAATCAAATCGACTCACCACAAACAACAGCGGAGCAAATACACATTGCTAAGCTCACACGGAGAAAACTTATGCAAAGCCCCAAATGGGACAAATTCCTCAAATCAGAATGGAAACAGCTTAACCGATACGACAAGGTTGGCATGTTTGGCTCCCCAATTGAAACCAAGCCAGATATGACTGTATTACCATGGGTCTGGACATATATTGAGAAGGAGAATCCCCTAACTGGAGAGGCAGAACCAAAATCACGAGGCACATGCAATGGAGGCAAACGATACGGCAAAGCAGTCACACTAGCTGAAACCTACGCAGCTTGTGTAGAACAACCAATCCACAGACTCACTTGGGCAATTGCGGCTGCACTTAACCTCATATGTGTTGGATACGATGTGGGTAATGCATTTGCTGAAGCACCAGCCCCTAAATCACCATTTTACATGAAAGTAGACGAACCATTCCAACAATGGTGGACAGAATGCCGGGGCAATACGCCAATACAGCCGGGGCAAGTCATCCCAATCTTAAAAGCACTTCAAGGACACCCAGAGGCACCACGCTTATGGGATAAATATATCTCTGGATTCCTCATCAACGATCTCGGATTTAAGCCGACAACACATGAGCCATGTCTTTATTACAAACATGACCACACAGGCCTAACACTAATACTTCGGCAAGTAGATGACTTCCTTATTGCCAATGAAAAAGAATCTACCTGTGACCACATAAAACAGCTGATYCAAGCACGAATGACCAACCCACTTAACATCCTAGGAACCATCCGGAAGTTCAATGGCATCCATGTGAATCAAACAAGGCATTATAATCACCTACATTGCCGGACCTATATTGAAAAGATCACATCTCATCATGGRTGGAACATAACCCCCCATACGAAGATTCGGAAAAAGCCCACACCAATGAATGAAAATTCAGCATATCACCGGAAATTACAGCTCACCGAAGGACCGAATGACCCACTGGAGGCAATTAAACTTCAACAAACGGAGGGATTCAACTACCGCCAATGTATAGGGGAACTCATATATGCCCTCACAATTTGCAGAGTCGATATTTCAATTGCAGTAATAACACTCAGTCAACACTCTCACAAGCCAGCGAAAATACACTTTGAAGCACTAAAACAAGTGTTTATATATCTCCTTGCCACAAAGAATGAGGGACTAATCTATTGGCGCCCAGAACCCCGAATGGACCTCCCTGATACACCATTACCAACCCCATACACCAATCTACAGACCCTGGAAAAGTTCTATCAATCCCCAGACCCATTACAGATACACGGATCATGCGATACAACTTGGGCATCAGATAGATTACAAAGAAGATCTATGGGTGGTGTCATAATGATGTTAGCAGGAGCAGCGATATACTACAGAACACGACTACAACCAACTATAGCTCAAAGCTCCACAGAAGCTGAATTTACCAACATGGCAGATGCAGGAAAGGCTGCCCTCTACCTCCGATGGATTCTCGAGGAATTGCAACTTCCACAAACAACACCTACTCCCATCCTGGCTGACAACCATGGTGCAGTTAGAATGGCCAACGCCCACCAACCCACCAGAAGAACCAGACACGTAGAAATGAAACACTTTGTGATCCTCCAATGGACTGATGATGAACACATTAACTTTGTAGAAACAAAGTCTGATGAGAACTACAGTGACTCACTGAGCAAACCAACTGGTCGAACCAAATTTTATGAACACTCGGACATCTTCATGGGAAGAGTACGACCAGACTATAGCCTATCAACCACCCAACTACATCCGATTAGTGAGGATAAGGCCACTATATCGACTGAAATCCCCACCAAAATCAATAACATGTACTGCTCCACTTGCAATCTAGATCCTCTCCAAAATTTACTAAATCAGRAAAATTTTGGATCATTTGAGTCAAATGAGTATCTAGATGGTGCAAGTGCGGGGTGGTGTGAGGCAATACCACGTAGTAAATCACGAGTGAATAGTGAGTGACAGCAAACAGCACATCCACTCACTCTTTATTGTAAACACGTAGTTATACGACACTAAAGAGCATACTTACATTTCGCAGTAGTACTTTGCACGAGAGGAAAGAATGAATTTAAACTATTTCTAGGATACCGTGCCGTGCCGCGCCGTTCGTACCAAGTACCGTACACCCTGGTTTCGTTTGTACCGGTTTCCCACATCCGAGATCCAAACTGTATTAGAGTGACACAAAGTGATGTTACGAGTACGTACTCTGCATTTCGAACCATCGATCAAGAAACTGGTGCAATGAAAACTAGCCTTCCGTTCTTGATTCTAGGCTRCTGGACTACTGCTTGCGCGTTTGCACCAKCGSGATGGGATATGTCCGGTAGTCTCGGCGTCCGCAACGGAAGGTACCTTGAATCCACGTCGTCGTCGGATGGAGAAGCCACCTCTCGTGTGGAAGAGCTCAAGACAGAGCTCCTCGAAAAGATTGCCATCCTCAACCGCCTCCAGGAGGAAGACGGAAAGATTGCCGTTGATTTTGGAGTAAAGGGTGGTGAGATTGACGAGAAATCCAGGGCACCCCGAAAGCTAGATTTTTATACGGTTTCGGAACGGGTTGGCAAGGCAGCGGACGCCATCTTCGAGGCCGTCGGGGAACTTTCCAAGGTGAATCCCACGGAAACGCCCACGGAGGGCCTCGGAGACACAACGTTCACAGGAACCCCGCCGCTGGATGGACCATGGAATCTCCTCTTTTCGACCGCCGCCGACGCCAACTTTTCCAAGGACAGCAAGCGCGGAGACGCCAAGGCAGCAAACATTGTCGACGCCAGGCGCGGAAAGATCACCAACGTGATCAGGTTTGCGCCKGCCAACGACAAGGATGGAAATCCGRAGCCAAAGGCCGTCGACGAGCTCCGGGTGCGGCTGGCGGCGACTGCCGAGGGGCCCAACCGGGTCGCGATTGTCTTCAAGTACGTGGCCGTCCGGTTCACCAGGTTCTTTTTTCTACCGCTCCGATGGACCCTCTATATCCCCGTCCCGGCTCCCACCATTGGTAAAATTGTGATCGCCCTCAGCAACGCCAAGAACTTTCTCTTGCGGAAAAAGACCGAACCCCGCAAGATACCGAAGGGTTTTTTCGATGTCCTCTTTTTGGACAAGGAGTTGCGGGTCCACAAGACGGGCGAGAACAATTTGTTTGTGCAGGCCCGGCCGGACTGGACCACTGCCTGGGACACAGTGGGTTAATTGAATTGAAGTTGAGCGAACGCTGGAACGATGACASCAACGATGCGTCGTTGGCGGTCTCTTCTTTYGGCACATGYAACGTCTGTATCTTGGCACCCYGTTCGGTTGCTCCCGAATGAATCGAGACACTCCTCTGTTATTTTATATAGTACATAATACCGTGCATTAGAAGTATTTTTACATCCTTATTATTACAATAGAGCCCGCCCACGAATCTGTAGCATCGAACCCAGGAGATCAGCATGTAATATCACGTATGAATCGCCTACGGTACCTCGGCGTCACCCGCTTCCAAAAAGTGTGCCTTGTAGCGCCGCAAGAGTTCTTCCTGGATCAGCCGATCGTCCTCCGCGGCRTCGGGATGAAAGACCAGGTCTTCCATCCACAGGGTCGCTCGTTCTGATATCCGCCGGGCCTCCTCRTCGTGGTCGATCACCCACTGCATGCGTTCCTCTACGTTGGTGGCATAGTCGTCCAGAGGGACGTAGTGAACCCAGGGCTCTAAGAGTTCTTCCATGCACCACGAGGTGTGTTTGGGAATCGGCATCAACACGATAGACTGTGACAGGAGAGCCCACTTGAGCCCRGAGGCCACATCGTTCCCCTCGATCATAATGATGCCCTTGTATTCCAGYAACGAATCAATCTTTACCTTGTCGGCCAAGAGTTCGACGCCATTCAAAACGTCGGGAAGCCTCCCCCGCGTCGAAGTCAACCGGGCATGGATTAGCGTYGAGTTGGCGTGGTTGTACACCAAGCGGCAGCGCTTCATATTGTAGCAGTTCTCGTCGTCGCTCTTGTATTTGTTGTATCCATCCCGAGAACCCGTCAGCTGGCCCCGAAAGACGGCTTGGTCCTTTTTGTGGGACCACTGGGTGTCGTATCGATAAACGTCTTTAAGTTTTTTGAAGTGGCGATCCGTTGCCAACTTCCAGACGATCGGTTGGAAGCGYTGWGTACCGTGAGCSGAGTTCAAAGCCTCGCGGATGCCCTCGCCTCTGGAGGAATAGCAGTCTTTCGATGTGACRGCCTCTAAATCGTTTGGTGTTAGTGCTGCAGACCGAAACTTTTTGATGTGCGGAACCTGTACGTCCTTGAAGACGTGCGACTGTTTGTTGTCTCCGAACTGAATCAGAACGGGAGGGGGGAGATAGTCTTTGYCGGCATCCTTCTCTTCCCACTGAATATGGTCCCAGGCTGGCATGAGCAAGCCTTCCACGTCTTCACAGTACATTCTCATGTTGTGACGAAATTTTATGCGTTCCCGATAYGGGTCGTTGGTTTGTTCCCCCCATTCTTCGTCGTAAGAAAAATTAGCACAATTGACAATTGTTTCCTTGTCCATGAAAAAGAGCATATCGGGTTCGACGATGCTCTGAATATTAGACATTATTCGCATCGTTTGGTTGACAGTGGGGTGGTCCTTCAGCCCGGCTACTTCCAGTGTCGGCCATCTTTTCGCASTATTAGAAGTGGTATTTGTATCCSAACCGCCAAGAGAGTACTGGATAAAGCCAYCGAGATCGTCTTTGCACGGCGGGGAATACCAATTGGACAGGTACAATTTGATCCGAGATTCGATAGACGGAAATCGCTGGGATCGTGTGGAAGGGACGGTAGCCTTCCATTTTTCCACGATCGAGTCTTCGCTATTGTCTCCCAAACAAGGATGSACACCCGAGGAGCAAATGAAAAGGAATAGCAGCAATGATGCTATCACCGCCGACCAAGAGACGATCATCCTGGGACTGCYAACAGWGTGTTTCGACAGATGACGGTTATGATCGTTTTGTGGTGATCGGCTTCGTTCTCCCTGTTTCTGTTCTGTCCCGAAAGAAAAGCGATCTAAAAGTACCAGTCACGAAATTTMTCGATTTCGCTGCTTTCTAGTCTGTCGCTWTTGGGCTCTTTCTATCTGTCTTTCTTTCGTCGTGGCAATCTACTTTGATATTTSATAAACGTTTCTTTCCTTTTAGGGCGTCGCGTTCGAATCGAACCGTTCAAAAAATAGCAGTACCATCCCTTAGCGTTTCACGGTAGCATTGCAATGCACCGTGACAATCGAAATTTTGGAATGAATTTTTGTCGGTTCATCCGCGCCGTCAAACCCAMACAGATCTACCGTACCGGTGGTTTCATTCGTGTTGCGCCGTGTGGTTTCCTCCCGCAGTGGAAACCCYTGGTTTCGGCTGTCTCGCGCTGCGCCATATGATGTGAGACTAGTAAATCACGAGTAGATAGTGAGTGAGCATTAAGCCACTGACTCCTTCTTGTAAATCACGTAATACCGCAACACACAACTAAAACATACATTTTGCATGTGATACACACAYCGTGGAGTGTGGAGTGGGCGGTTTAAGAGTATTAAATCATATCTATAACATTAGTATAATATTATATTTCAGTATTGGTGGCCTTATCGTTTTGCACAGATGCTGAGTTCTTGATATGTTAATGAACATAAAAGCAGGAATCAAAAACTCACCGACCCTTGACCTCCCACCATTTACAGTATTGTTGTCATCACCTTTCATATTTCTTGTTATATCGGCACTGCTGGTAACAAGAAGGACTAAAACAAGAAGAAGAATGCTACTACTAGCAGAACTACTCGTCCTTCCGTGCAAGAAAGGTTGGCATTCTGCATAAAACTAYCAAAAATCTAGTGCTAAAAAATACAGGACCTCTTTTTTCTTGCTGGACYTAAACAAAAAATCGCAATCATCGCAAGCTGAATACAACGAGACGAGACCCTCCGCAAATCCACTAATGCCCAAAGGAGATATGTCTGCATGCAATGTCTCATGGGTAACGAGCCGAGACTGAATGCCGAAACAAAAACCGAAGAAATAWAATTATTTCAGTCCCAAACGTCGAAGCAATTCTATTGTTATTTGCTTTCTACTAATGCCGAAGCGAAAACAAACAAGTAAAAATATCGGAGTCCCGGAGGTCAAAGCAATACAGAACGGCATTGAATTACTAATCTCGGAACCCCCGTATGTAATCCTCGTCGACCACCCCACTTTCCCCGTACCGCAAGCATACCTCGACGAGTTCCTTCGCGGAATCCCGCAGCTTCTCCTSAAGGTACTCGTTCCGGACAATTTCCCTCGGGGGACAGGCCACGTGGAGGAGCTTGTCGTAGTAGTGGCCGATCATGCTCGGGTCTTGCGTCGCACCGTCCTCGGCCTGCATGTAGGCCTCGAAGCGTTCCGGAACCACGTGGGACCACAGCTCGTCTTCCGACCGGGGACGGGGCGTCACCCCCSGCAAACAAAGGGGACGCTTCTTTTCTTGGTTGTATTGGTAGCACCTCCACACACCGCGGGCACCGACAGCTTCGATGCGATCCGACCATCGGGGAATCAGCAGGTGGTAGTTTGTTGATCTGTCGTCGTTGCTGATTCCTCCGCGACCGCTGTCGACGCRATCCGGAACGGAGTTTCCGTTCTTGCTGCAACTCACGGCGTCGATCATGAACAAGATCGTTTCGTAGCTTTGTTCGGGGATCTTGGCTTGCTTCAAGAGTTCCAGCGCATTGGGATACATGAACGCATAGTACTTCTGACCATCGTTGTCGGCTGCGCGATCCTTGTCCCCTTTTCCTGGTGCTGCTGCTTTCGGAAAGTACTTTTCGTCGTCTACGTCGTGGAGCAGGGCCGCGGCCTCGATTTCAAGTGCCTGGTGTTCCGAAAGCTGCACTCTCTGGTGAGACTGCTCGGCCGTTGCCAGGGATTCTATGGCATTGCAAGCGTGGTGGTGCACCCGCTCCCAGTGATGGATCCCGTGGGATTCCTTGATGAGATCCGAGTGCTTCCGATAAAAGGAACGCGCGGCCTCMAGGAGCAAGCCCCGTGCTGCTGGTCCTTGGCGTAGAGTTTGCACGGTCGATGTCGTCATGTTAGAGGAGGAGGATACGATTGCAGCCACCGACTGAAAGCTTTGCCGGAGTGTGTGTCTCATTCTATGCCTAGGTCAAGCCGTAGTCTCCATTCAATGATGTAGAGCATTGAAAGGTTKTGGAAAGCATTCTCAACATACCGCGACACACACAAGTACGAGTGCGTAATCGTACGAGTACTAGTACCGAGTTAAATGCGATTCTACTGACCGGTGCGATACGGTACGTACCCTCACTTATTACTGAG